GCATGTGCATGGGGCTAGGAGAGAGAATGGATAATGAGAGAATTAAGGTCTTTATTCCCGAAGTTTAGTGGTAAGAGGCAATACAGAACTGGGAAAATACCAAGAAGCAAAGCATCGTGTCAAGCAATGTTGTGGTTTTTAATTGTGGTGGGGGGATGGTGTATCTGCTTGCTTGAAGGAGGCATAGATAGGGAAACAGAAAGGATGCTGGGTGGGGGAGGTTGGGGGAGGGGGTCAGTGGGAACACAGTCACTCTGAGTGGGGAAGGGGTATTATCTGGAGGCCAGGGAGAGTGCTAGCTTGGAGAGGAGATGCGCCCTCCTCTGAGTCCAGAAATGAGGGTGTAGTTGTAGTGACAGACACAGGTCAATTCAGGAGCTCTTACAGGGTGGCCTCAGGTTTCTTAGTGAATTGGGCAACAAGGCCATCTGTTGAGAGATGGAGTGGGGACTGGGGCTGCTGAGGTAAGAAGTTCTGGAACAGCCCAGTATCCTCCCAAGGTCCTGAGATTGCAGAGTCTTCCTAAATCATGGCCTACTAGAACAATGCTGTGGTCTAGAAGGATGGGGGTCTGAGGTGCCTTTAATGGCAGCTCTGGGCCTCTTGTGTCACTGTTTCATGAAGGAGCAGCAGTCTTCTTTTGGTGGTACCCACAAAATCAAAGAATGTTAAGACAGCAAAGCTAGATGAGACCTCAGAAGTCATCTAATGTCTCATTTAGAGGCAGCTCAGAAGTGCAGTAGATAGAGTGCTGGGCTTGGAGTCAGGAAGACCTGGGTTCAAATTTGGCTTTAGACGCTTACTATCTATGTAATCCTGGGTAAGTCACTTAAACTGTGTGCCTCAGTTTCCTCAGTTGTAATGAGTATAGTAACATCTACCTCCCAGGGATGTTGTGAAGGTCAAATGAGATAATTGTCCCCTGCCATATAGTAGGCACTTAATAAATCCTCTTGCTCCATACATGGGGAAAGTAAGGGCCATAAAGGTAAAATGATTTGTCCAATGCCCCAATTATTCCTTGGCATCTGAAACCCAAGTCTTGGTCTTCTGATTCCATATCCTGTGTCTTTTCCTCCATACTACTACTACGTTAGAGCAGAGAGCCAGAGTGCTTTCCAAAGACAATAAGCAAGAATCAGAAGAGATAAGCTAGAGGTGCAGAGAAAAGACTAAAAGTTTCTCTATGTTCAGGGACCACCTCTGCCTCCTATTACCTGTGTTTCCTTGAGTTAACTTCTCAGGACTTTAGTGTCTGTAGATTAAAGGGGTTGGACCAGATGACTTCTGAGGTCCCTTCTACCTATAAAGTTAGAGTCTTATGATATTCATGGGAAGCTAGGTAGCACAGTGGATAGATCGCTGGGGTTGGAACCCAGAAGACTCATCTTCCTGAGTTCAAATCTGGCCTCAGACACTTACTAGCTGGGTGACCCTGGGCAAGTTGCTTAACTTTGTTTGCCTCAGTTCCCTCCTCTGTAAAATGAGCTGGAGAGGAAAATGACAAACCACTCCAGTATCTTTGCAAAGAAAATCCCAAAATGGGGTCACAAAGAGTCAGACACAATTGAAATGACTCAATCCACATAGTCGTTTAGTCTTAAAATTTCAGAATTCTCTTCTCCCATACTCTCTACATCTAATCACTTGTCAAGTGCTTTCAGGACTTTCAGAAGAGATTCCCTCACCTCCTACCTCCATTGCTTAAAATCTCTCCTAATCTTCAATGCTCAACTGAGCCTTCCTCCATGAAGCCTTCCTTGATTCTTCCCAACTAAAAGTAAGCTTTCCTTCCACAAATTCCTCAGAGCAAGCTTCTCTTTTGATCTTACCACATTTTGCATTGCATCACAGTTGTTTGTATGTATCTCTGTCCCCCTACTAGATTTTAAGCTTCTTAAGGTATTGTTTTAAGTTTTATTTCATTTTTGTACTGCCCCTGCCTCACTACTGTGTAGTACAGTGCTTGGAACTTGGTATACAGCCAAAGAATGTTGACTTTGATTCAAGAAGAGATGGTGAATCCTACCAGTCATGGCAGCGATGGTAAGCCTACCTCAGACTGGAAACACTGAGTAGTTACAGAACTTTAAGGTTTACAAAGGGCTTTCCTTATAACAGCCTTTTGAGGGATATGGCTCAAGTATAATAATCTCCATTTTACAAAGGGAGGATCCTGAGGTTCAGAGAGGTTGTGATTTACCTATGGTCACACAGCTAGTGTTAGAATCAAGACTTAAATTCAGGTCTCCTGAATCCAAGTCCAGTGGTCTTCCTACTACAACATGCTGTCATTTTTTTTTCCAATATCCATTTTCTATCATTCAGCCCAGTTAGGGTTGAAGCAAGGAAAAGTCACCAGGGGATGGATGCCTCATAAATTGTATTTCAGTCAAGCGTGCCTTATCTAGACATTCCTTAAAGGTAGGGGCTGGATTTTATACTCTGTAAATTCTCTCTCTCTCTCTCTCTCTTTATTCTTCCTCCTCCTCTCCTTCCTCCTCATCCTTCTCTCCACCTCTGTCTCACTCTCTCTGTCTCCATATGTCTTTCTGTCTCTCTGTCTCTATATGTTTCTCTCCCCTTTCTATCTCTCTTTGTCTGTGTCTATCTTTCTATCTCTCCATGTGTCTCTTTCCATCTCTCTGTCTCCATCTCTCTTTTTCTTCCTCCCTCCCTTCCTCCTCCTTTCCTTCTATTTCTATCTCTCACAGGCAGTTTTGATTTCTAAATTAAAAATTGCTTTTAAAAATCTCTGACCCTGTGTCTGCTGAACTAAGAATAAAAGTGATTTTCACCATATCACTCAGGATAGGATAGTTCACCTTTAGAGACTGGATGGGCTGGTGGCAATGGAATTGATCTGGGGTTGATAGGGAGGTGAAGATACAGTAAGAGGAGAGCCAGTGGAAGCTAGATACTTTGCACCCTTTCTGCCTGAGTTTTTTCCTCCGAAGGAGCAGTTTACCACTGCAGCTTGGGGTTCTACACTGTGAGAAACACATAGGGCAGCTAGGAGTCCTCTGTAAAATGTTTAGGTGTCAACTCAGGATATATGTCAGAGACACTGTGGTAGAGTGAGTTTAATGGCCTTGCTATCAGAATTCCTGACTTTGACTCCTGGCCACATCACTCACTCACTGAGAAATTTTAGGTAAGTCACTTACTTGTCTGAACTTCAGTTTCCTTATCTGTAAAATGGGGATGATAATATTTATGCTGCCTGTATTATAGGTTTGTTGTAAGATCAAGCAAACCAATGCCTTTTGTAAACTTAAAACATTTTTGTAAACTTGTTTTTGTAAATATTTGCTATGTAAATGCAAGTGGCTTTGAATCTTGCCTCAGACTTATACTAGTTATATAACAAGTCCCTTAAACTCTCAGAGCCTCAGTTTCCTCATATGTAAAATGGGGATAATATTTGCGCTACCTACTTTACAGAGTTGTTGTGAAGAAAATGCTTTGCAAACATTAAAGCCATAGACCTGTTATTATATATTGTTAATACATATATTATTTTATTTATTATTAATGTAAGAAAATATATGTCTAGACCTGTATGTATTTTAATAATATTACATGTGAATTAATTAAATATTAATGTAGTACATATATGACTGGATATATAATACTTATGTTTATAGAGATACAGATAGAGCTATAGATATCTAGATTAGAGAGATACAGATGCAGAAATATGATAGATATAAATATAGACAGAGACAGAGATACAGCTATAGAGATGTGATAGATATAGTTATAGAAATCAATATAAAGATAGAGAGACATAAAGAGATATGATAGAGAGATAGAGTTATAGATATATGGATAGAGATATATAGAGATAGAGATATGATAGATAAAGATATATAGAGAGACAGATATATATATAAAGATATAATAAATATCAGTATTAATATAGATAATGATACAGATGTAGATGTCACTGCATTTGTTATTCCATCAGGGTAGAAAACTCTCCATGAAGAACTTCTACCAGTGCAGATCTGAACTTTTTCTGCATTTTATAATCTTAGGGAAATAGCAGGAGTCACTGAGAAAATAAGTGACTTGCCCAGGGTCACACAGTCTGTATGTGCAGATATAGGACCCAATCTTAGCCCTTCATGACAGTTTCCTAACCATTACACCACACTGTCTCTCCAAGTTCACTGTATATAGATAGGAATTGTCATTATCAAGCAATAATACTAAATACCCACTATGTTTCAGATACTATGCTGGGTACTGGGTATACAAATACAGCATTCAGACAGTCCCTGCCCTCAGGAAGCTTATATTCTACATTATCTCAGTAGTTAATTGTAAAGTCCTGGCTTATGCCTATCATTTCATTTATTTCTGAATCATTTTCCATCATCTGTCACTCCAGGAGAAGAGGTAATGATAACATTAGTCTAGTAACATAAACTGTAATTAAGAAGATAAATGTGCTATTAAAAAGCGTATTATGAACCCCAAATTTAAATATAAACTCTTTTAAAAGTCTCCATTTTGTATCATATGTGATTCTCTTCTTTAACAGTAGAGCTAGCCCACTAGCCCATAACTGACTGTTAGAGTATTTCACCAAGCTAATTTAATTGTATCCAGGTTTTCTGAGTCACAGAATGATAGAACCATAGTGTTATGTGTGGGCTTTCAAGATGTACACTTAGGGTGATGTATCAGCATTTTAGAACAAGTGGTTCCCTCAGAAGGCAGCTGCAGCTCTTTCTGTAAAGCCTTCTCATCAGAGTCTAAGACCTTAGAGATAGTGTTTTGCCCAACATCACAGAGTGAAGCAATAACAGAGCCTGGACTGGAAGCCAAATCTTCTGAGATCCCAGTCCAGTGCTCTGTCCTCTATATCCTGCTGGGAAGATTTTTTTTTAAATGTGGGCTTTTTTTGGTCATAAGACTTAGTACCTCATCTATATGCCATGTCACCTACTATGTTCACAGGTACTGAGAACGCTAGAGTTTTCTTAGCTTACCTGTTTGGCAGCAAAAAGCTTGCCCTGATACTTATTGATCACTGTGTAACCACCTGGCACCTGACGATCTTCATACCAGGCAACAGGTACCAAGAAATCTCGAGGGTTAGCCAGCCCATTGGCACCTGAAACGGAAAGACACAAATGGTCTTGTCAAGGAACTACAACCTAGAATCACCTACCCAGTAAAACTGAATATAATCTTTCAGGGTAAAAAATGGCCATTCAGTGAAATAGGGGACTTTCAAGCATTCCTGTGGAAAAGACCAGAGCTGAATAGAAAATTTGACCTTCAAATACAAGAATCAAGTGAAATACGGAAAAAGTAAACAGGAAAGAGAAATCGTAAGAGACTTATTAAGGTTGAACTGTTTACATTCCCACAGGGAAAGATGATATTTGTAACTCATGAGTCCTTTGTCAGTATTAGGGTAGTGGGAGGGAAAAAAATTCTATGTATGTATAGGTAGATAGAGGGAACAGGGTGAGTTTAAGATGAAGGGGTGATATCTGGAAAATAAAATTAAGGGGTGAGAGAGGATTATACTGGGAGAAGGAGAAAAGGAGGAGTAGAATGAGGTAAAATAAAAATAAGGCTTTTACAGTGGAGGGGAAATGGGGGAAGGTGAGAGGGAATGAGTGAATCTTATTCTCATAGGATTTGGCTTAAAGAGGGAATAACATACACAATGGGGTATGGAAATCTATCTTACCCTAGAGGAAAATAAGGGGGGAAGGGGACAAGACAGCAGGGGGTTGATAGAGGGGAGGGCAGATTGGGGGAGGGGATAATCAAAAGCAAACACTTCTGAGGGTGTCAACAGGGTCAAAAGAGAGAATAGAATAAATGGGGGGTAGGATAGGATGAAGGGAAATACACTTAGTTTTTCAGAACAGGACTACTATGGAAGTGTTTTGCATGACTACACATCTATAACCTGTATAGAGATGCTTGCCTTTTCAATGAGGGTGGGTGGGGAGGGAGGAAGGGAGAAAATTTGTAACCCAAAGTTTTAAAACCACATGTTAAAAATTAAAAAAAAATAATTAAAAATATATAAAAAAATAAAGTGACCATTTTACCTAAAAAAAATATTTTTAAAGGGGAGCTAGGTGGTGCAATGGATAGAGCACTGGCCCTGGAGTCAGGAGGACCTGAGTTCAAATCTGGCCTCAGACACATAACACTCACTAGCTGTGTGACTCTGGGCAAGTCACTTAACCCCAATTTCCTCACCAAATATATATATATATAGTCATTATATTTATATATTATACTTTTAAAAATAAGTTTTATTGATATTTTCTATTTCTTACATCACCATAGTATCCATTTCCTTTCCCTTTCCCCTATCCAAGAGCCATCTCGTATAACAACTAGTATTTTTTTTAGAGAGAAGAAAAGATCAGCACCCCTGATTGATATATTGAAAACGTCCAAAAACATGTGTAATGTGTAACATCCATGGATCTCCCCCCTCCATGAAGGGGTGGGTTGGGAGTATTTGAGTCTCAATTGATCATTATAATTCTGTTACATTTGCTTTTGATTTTTTAGTGTGTTATTGTTTTTTCCATTTATATGGTTATGGTTACTGTATATATTGTTTTCTTGTCTTTGATTGCTTCACTCTGCATCAGATCATATAGATCTTCCCATGATTCTCTGTATTTATCATACATATAATTTCTTATAGCGCAGTAGCATTCCATTGCATTCATTTACCACAATTTGCTTATCCATTCCCCAATTGATGGGCATCTACTTTGTTTCCAATTTTTAACTATCACAAAAAGTGCTGCTATAAATATTTTGAAGAATATGGAAGATAAATATGGGGATTTTTTTTCTTCTTGACTAAGCCTGGCAATGGAATCTCTGGTTCAAAGGATATGAACATTTTAGTGACTTGTTATACAAAATTCCAAATTGATTTCTAAAATGGTTGTACCATTTTACAACTCCACCAACAATGTACTAGTATGTCTAGCTTCCTGCAACCCCTTCAACATTGACTGTTGCCATTTTGGGGTCTTTTTGCCAGTTTTCAGGGTATGTGATAAAACCTCAGGGTTGTTTTTATTTCCATTTCTTTTATTACTTGTGATTTGGAGCATTTTTTCATGTGTTGTGAATACTTTGTAATTCTTCTTTTGAAGACTGTTCATGTCCTTTGACCATTTATCAACTAGGGAATGGATTTTAGTCATATATATTTATTAATTGTTTATGTATCTTGACTCTCATCAGAGAAATTTGATACAAGGATTTTTTCTTCATTCAGCCATTTCCCTTCTCAGCCTAAATGCATTAATGTTGCTGTGCAGAAGCTTGCAGTTTTGAATTATTAAAATTATATCTTTTACTTTTGGTAATTGCCTCCATCTCTTGTTTGACTAAGGGTACATCTTTTACTTATAGCTATGAGAGGCATATGATCTGTTTTTTTCTCCTAATTTTTTGTATAGTGTGATCTTGAATATTAAGGTGATATATCCATTTAGAACGCGATGTGGAACATGGTGCAAGGTGTCGGTCTAAGCCTAATTTCTGTCAGACTGCTTTCCACATGGTGCAGAGACATATGTATATTCTTTTGCTGTCCCATTTAGAAGATGCCATAAGTCTTTTAACTCTAGTTTCTCCAGAAATGCATTCAATTACATATTTTCCCCTTTTGTTTATTTTTCTGTTTTATGCAAAACTGATTGAGAGATATTGAAGTTTCATTTAACTATTGAGTTATTTTCTATGTCTTCTTGAAGCTCAAATGATGTTTCTTTTACGAATTTAGATGCTAAAACATTTTAAGCAGAAAAGTTCATTGTTGATGTTGGTTTGTTATCTACGGTTCCTTTCAGTATATTATAGTTTCTTTGTTTATCTCCTTTTTTTTTTGAATGTTTGTTTTTGCTTCGTCTAATAGCATGATAGCAACTCTTGCTTTTTGGATTCAGTTGATTCAGAGTAAAATTCTTTCCCCATTCCCTCAGTTCCATTTTGCGTGTGTCTGTTTTTTAAATGCATTACTTGTAAGCAACAGATTGTAAAGTTTTGTTTTCTTATCCAGTCTATCCCTCTTTTTTATTTTATTGGATAGTTTAATCCATTCACATTTATAAGAGTTAGGTTTATATTTCCTCTGTCTCTAAAACATTTTTTTTCAAGTTGAGATTTTCCCCTCTGCTGTAAACACAGTATGTTCCTTCAATTACTTACTTTAATTTTTTAAAAGGTGGTCCTGTTCCCACCGGCTTTCTTCTCTTCCCCCATCCCTTCTCCTTTTTCATTACCCCTTTCCTTTTAAGGTCTTTTTATTGGTTTCTCTCTGTTGCTTTTATCTGGTTATATATTTCTCCCCCTACTTTTTTTTCCTCTCAGTTAGTCAAGTAAAAGGGAAGGGAAAGAACCCTTCAGCTAGACCTATTATTCAGTTTTTTATTTTTTACTTTGTGCATCCCTTTCCAAAAAGGATTTCTCTCATTCTCTTCATTATTCACCTTTTCTTTCTGTTTACTTTCAACTCTCATTCTCTGATTCATGACTCCTAGACTCATCTGATCTTTCTCTTTTTTCTCTGTATTCTTCATATAATCAAAACTTCCAAGGTATCCATTCTAGCCCTGCCTCTAGGTACTTCTTTTTGCTACTGCCTTGTAGAGCTTACCCCATGGATTCCCTTCTCCCATACTGCCTCACTCTCAGAACAATTTCAATTATTGCAGGTATCAGAGAGTACACTGCCCTATGATAGGACCTCCTCCCCAACAAAAAAAATTATCTTTAGCCTCTCTTGTTGACTTTTTCCCTCTACATTTGCCTGGAAATCTCCTCCCTGCAAACATACTCTCCCAGTCCTCCAGTTGTCAGTTGTCCTCAAGGGTTCCAACTCTCCCACCTTCAAGGAGACTTTCAGACAGCAAATCCCCCAGGCCTCGTTCAGTGTAAGGTCCTCATCTCCCTTCACCCAAAATAGCATTCATCTGTAGAACCTCCTCCCACATCCAGAGTAAGATGTCCTTCCTTTCCCTTCTTTTTCAATCTTTTCCCCCTCTCCCCTCACCCATTCCATTGTAGGTTCTTCTCTTTCTGAGACCATAGAGGTCACTTTTCCCTCCTTGCTAGACCATGATTAGACCCCAGTGCATCACTCACTCCTATCTCTCCTCATGTTCCCCTCTCCGCCTTTCATGTGCTCTCCCTCCCACGTTAGGGTGTAGTTCCACAAAAGAAGCATTTACTTGTAGGCAAGGTGTTGCCAGGTTCCATCAGTACTCCCCCATTTGTCTCTTCACTGTTACCTCTATCAGATTTCTGCCTTCACCCCCGTCTCCTTGTGTACATTTAGAAAGAAGTTTCTTCCTAGTCTTTCTGTTGCCCCTCTGTTGTTGTTGCTGTCTGCATTTATTCACTCCTCCTGAAACTCTGAGGCCTAGGGTGTTTGAGAAGCAAATAATCTCTTCAGTTCTAAAAACGTTCAGTTAACTTCTAAAAAATTTCTCCATTATTGAATGTCCATCTTTTCTCCTGTATGTTTAAGCTCAGATTTGCACATTTAATCTCAGGGATAGGTCACCCTGAAGAGCTCCAAAGCTCTTCAGAACACATTATTTCAGTCCTTCATTCTCTTTCTAGTAGGTGAGGATTAGTCTTTAGTCATTTGAATGTTCTTTCTTTCGTATTTGATGATTTTTTTTTTTCAGATTGCTTGTAGAACTTGTTGTCTCTCAAATGAATTGTTAAATTTAACCACCATGTGCCTTGGAGTTTGATGCGGTCTTTTTTATTTTTTTCTGGAGATGATTTGTGGATACTTTCTATTGGAATTTCATTTTCCATGTTTAGAAATTCTAAACAGTTATCTTCTATTACTTCCTTCATTATGGTGTTAAGGTTTTTTGTCCTGTTAGATTCTTCTTGGAGACTTACAATCCATAGGCTTGCTCTAAGCATCCTGCCCTTGAGAGCTACATATTTTGCTTTCATAATGAGAGTATTTTTTTTTTTTTTTTTTTTTGCTGAAGCAGTTAGGGTTAAGTGACTTGCCCATGGTCACACAGCTACTAAGGGTCAAGTGTCTGAGGTCGGATTTGAACTCAAGTCCTCCTGACTCCAAGGCCGGAGCTCTGAGAATATTTTCTTTTAATGTTTTTTGTTCTCATCTTCTAGGTTGTCCTTCACCTTTACATGTACCTGCATTCTCAATCTATTGCTCTCCCCTGTTTCTCTGCTGTTTGCTATTGCAGACTCAATTTTTTTCTATTCTGCTCATCATTTCTGCTGCGTAGGACATAAATTTTGCTCTCATAATTCTAATTTCTCTTTTTTTTTTTTGCGAGGCAATGGGGTTAAGTGACTTGCCCAGGGTCACACAGCTAGTAAACATTATGTGTCTGAGGCTGGATTTGAACTCAGGTCCTCCTGAATCCAGGGCCAGTGCTCTATCCACTGTGCCACCTAGCTGCCCCTCTAATTTCTCTTTTAATCCATTCAGAAACAGCTTGTTGTGGTTCCTTGTTCTCCTCAAATTCCACAGAGTTCTCTATCTCACCAAGTGTTGGATTGTTTTCCTTCATCACGCACTATTTATTTTTCTCCCCCTCCCCTTTATTTTTCTTATCATTCACTTCCTAACTCCCTCCCTTCTGAAGGTGGTTTCCTTGGGGGCTGGATCTCAAAGTGTCTCAGTCTCCTCCCACACTGGGGCAATTTACTATTCACTGGCCTAGGTTTTTGCCCCAACTGACTTTAGGGTGGTCAGAACTGGCCTTAGCCAGATGCTGTGCTCTTTTACTCAGGTATATAGGTCCAGATCAGAATAGGAAATAGGTGTGGAGCTCTGATTTCATTGCTATAAGGAATGCCTATATGAAGATGCTCTCTTCACTAATGCAAATTGGCACCTTCTTGTAAGTTAAATTTTGAGGAGTTACCTGGAGCGTTGAAAAGGTAAGTAACGTGATCAAGGTCACAAAGCCAGTATGTGTGTTAGAGGTAGGGCTTGAATTTGAATCTTCCTGGATTCAAGGCTGGTTCTCTATCCACTGTGTCATGCTGCCAGATCACAATATAAATATGTATGTGTGTATGGATGTGGATACATGTTGCTCAATATTACTCCAGTCCTATCCTAAGCCTTCTATCAATGAAATCACATCTAGCGTCTTTCTCTTCATCCTCTAATACTACTCCAGGCATTGTGTGTGGCAGTGAAACACAAAAACCTTCCACTCTAGAGAAGAAAGTTGATCTGTGGAAAGGGAAATAGAAATTTAAATGAAAAAGTGAGAGGTGAAGGGTATCCAGCTTTTCCTGTTATCCTCAATATCCCATTAAGTGATATTTAGAGATGTAAAGTAAGTCTTTACCAATAGGTCCCAGGTCAGGCAACTCAAAGTGGACTCCATAGACCTCTAGGATGTAGCCCCTGGTCTCCCCAAATACATCCACACTGAACCTCATTCCTCTCTGGAAGAAGAAGCAGACATTGGGGTTCTTCATAGAAATCATACCTGCAGTGACAAGGAGGCCTCATATAGCCCCCAAATGCAAAGACCCCGCTTATTCAATAGGCCCTCCAGTTAGTCTGAGCCAGAGAATAGAACTGAATTTGCAATCACCTTTGTGTTTCCAGACAATCTTAAGATTAGAGGATTGGGGCATAAGTACCTCAAATATACCTCACCCCTCAATAACTAGCCAAGCCTCAGGGCTCCACTTCACCCTGCCTTGACTCTTAGGCAGCCCCAAGGACTCACCATCTGCCCTACCATAGGCTGCGTCATTTCCACGGTGTCCCCTACTTCTTTTTCTATTTCTTGCTCAGAGAGTCATAATCAAACCAATATCATCATGGCTACTACAGAAGTATGTGACAATCTACTCTTCTACGGCTTTACTCAGAATGTCTGTTATTATGAGTCTTGGCCAAAGCTCCTTTCCCCGGCTACCACTCACCACTGCCTTATACCCATGAATGTCAGCCCCATCTCTACAGTGTCCCTATCCAACACTATCCTAACTTTCCTTTGTGGCCCCTGGAACCTCTATTCTATTGTTAACAAATTGCCCTTCTTATTAGACCTCCCTACAGAAATTACTTTGTGTTTAGTGTCCTATGCACATGTTTCCAACTACCCCAATATAATCTTTGTGGGCAAAGGCTTTGGATTTTATCTTTGTATCCCTGGAATCTAGTACTGTGTCTGGAATACAGTAGACACTTAATAAGTGCTTGTTCAGTTTAATTGAATCTCAACTTGAGTCCATCCTTTCCATGTTCTGGCCTCGGTTAAGCACAAGACAGAGCTTCTTCAGGCCTGACTGGATGAGGTTTCTTCTTTTTTTTTTTTTAATAGTATTTTATTTTTTCCAATTACATATGAAGATAATTTTAACATTTTTTTAAAATAAAATTTCGAGTTCCAAATTTTCTCTCTCCCTCCATTCCCTCCCCCTTCCCTAAGACAGTAAGCAATCTCAACGAGGTTTCAATCAAGCCACTCAACCTCATCCCTCTCCTGAATCATCTATGGGAAGAACTTGGTTTTTTGGCTTTATTCTATTTTGATATTAAGTTGTGTTTAAGTGTGAATATATGCTAAAAAAAAAAGATTTTGTTTGTCTTTTTTTTCTTTCTCAATGAGGGTGAGAGGTGAGCGGGAGAGAAAGTACATGCTCATTGATTAGATAGATTGATAAAGCCTTCATTTAATGCTTACTAAGTGCCAGGTACCGTTCTAAGTGCTGGGAATACAACTACAAGCAAAAAGAAAGACAGTTCCTGCTCTCATGGAGCTTACATTCTAAGGGGGAAGGGAAGACATCATATAAAAGGGACCTGAAAAGCTATTGGGGAGAGGTGGAAAAGATTGGGGAGCCAGGAGCAGAGCATGGAGAGAAAAAAAATTTCAAAAATCAAACTGAATAAACAATAATAATAACAACAACAACAAATCAAGCTACAGGCTGGAAGGAGTTGACCTCATCGACCCATGAGCTCTTTGGCATCTCTCTATCCTCCTCCCCAGCTCTCAGAGTTGGTGCCTAACCATTGAAATAGTAAATGGCTAGGATCTCTCATCACCTCATGAGTGGACTATTGCAATAGCCTGCTGGTGGGTCTGCCTGCCTCAGGTCTCTGTCCACTCTAATTCATCCTCCATTCAGCTACTAAAATGATTTTCCTAAAGCACAGGTCTGATCATGCCATGAACCCCCTCCTGACTTAATAAATTTTTGTAGCTTACTAGTGCTTCCAGGAGCAAATACAAAATGCTGTGTTTGACATTCAAAGCCCTTTTATAACCTAGTCTCCACCTACCTTACTCCCCGATGTACTCTCTTCAAACCAGTGACAATGGCCTCCTGGCTATCTTGAGTCCAGGCATTTTCTCTTGTCTGGAACATTCTCCTTCCTCTGCTCTATTAACCTCCCTAGCTTCCTTTAAGTCCCCAAACCCCACCTTAGAACCCTTTCAAGTCCCCAACCCCTGTTAATTCCAGTGTCTTCTATGTGGTAATTATCTCCCATTTATCCTATATATAGCTTGCTCTGTAAATATTTGCTTACATGTTGTCTCTCCAATTAGATTGTAAGCTCCTTGAGAGCATCTCTTTTTGTATCCCTAGTACTTAGCACAGAGCCTGGAACATAGCATGCACTTAATAAATGTTTATTGATTAATTGATTGATTGATCCAAATGCCTCCTTGCTTCTGCTGGATTTAACCTAAACATGCAAGGGGTGTGTATGTGTGTGTGTGTGTGTGTGTGTGTGTGTGTGTGTGTGTCTGTGTGTGTGTGTGTGTGTTGTCAGGGACTGGGCTGGAAAGGAGGGATATTTTGCTCACCTGAATGACACAGATCTCATTGGGTTCCACCAACATCTTGCCAAACTCAGTGTAAATGAGAAGCTTCCCAAGCTGTGGAACTGAAGAGAAAGACACATTCAGGATTCCAAGGGACTAGAAATTCTTCCATCTCTGCAAACACAGAGAGCAGAGAGCTAGGCTTAAGGGTGTACCTCCTGTTGATAAAAAGGTTTTGGATTCAGGGCCCTGGAGGCTGACACACAGACAAAGGAATGAACTGAATGAATAGTCTTCTAGCAGTAGTAAGTACATTCTTAGGAATTCTTGGGTTGAGTTTGCCCTGGAGCTCAGCTGTTGGCCGTGGCAGGGTATGGAAAGAGGAGTGAAGGAAAAAGCTGACATTTATTTGGTCCTTACAGCAACCCTGTGAGGTAAGTGCTGTTATTGTACCCATTTTACAGATAGGGAAAAAGGAGACTCACAAAGGTTTGATTTGCATGGTCCATGGTCAAACAGGGAGTAAATCTGAGGCAGGATTTGAATTCAGGTCTTCCTGACGCCAAGATCTACACTTTATCCACTGAAGTGGAAACAATTCCCATTTGTGGTTACCCTGGGAAACTGGCTAAGCCTTGGATAAGGTCTGGACTTGTAGATTCAAGGAAGTCTACAGCCTCCCTAAGAGTTCAGTTTGCCATGGACAGCGGGGCCAGAAGTTTGATCTGGCATAGTTTTGCACCTTCTACCCACCTACTTGAAGCCCATGTTCATCCTGTTCTCCTTTCAGTGCTGGGTATTAGAAGGGCATTCTGAACCAATAAATAATTCACCAGTGTAATTCAGGCCCTCTGGAGTTTCTGTCACAGGAGTGCTCTAATTCAGAATGGCTTGGGTCCAACTCTAAAGAGGTCAGCTATGTCAAACAGGTTTGGGCAATGACTTGACTCACAATCCCTCTTCTGCTGGGACTGCTTCCAAGACTAATCTGATTGGCAAGAGGATATCTCTTTCCAGGACAAAGTCACCTCCTGGACTCCTCTCTCACCCCTCATATGCAGTTGATTGCCAAATCTTGCCATTTCTACCTTTCCCACACCCCTAGTATAAGTCTCCTTCTCTGCACTCTCACATCTGTCACTCTAGCTCAAGGCTTCATCACCTCTCACCTGGATTGTTGCAATAGTCTTCTAACTAGTATCTCTTCTTTAAGCTTCTCCCCACTCTATTCCATCCCCTACATAGCTGCCAAAGTGATTTTGCCATAGTGCTTCTCTCAATAACCTCCAGTAGCTCCCTATTGCTCCAGTATCAAATATAAATATAAACTTCCTTCACAATCTGGTCCTTTCCTACTTCTCCAGGCTTCTGCTATTGACTTCCCTCCACAGTCTATCATCTACAATGGCTTGCTATTCCTCACTGACAAGATGCCATCTCTAAGTTTTCACACTAATTGTCCTCCATGCCTAGCATGGTCTGTCTCCTCATTTCTGCCTTTCAGAATTCCTGGCTTAAGATTCAGTTCAAGTGCTACCTTTTGGAGGAGGCCTTCCCCTGTCCTTAAAGATGCTCTACCCTTCCTTTCAAAGGTGACCCTCCATTGACCCTGGATATATCTAGCATGTACCTAATCATTTGCTTGTTGTCCTCTCCTCCCTAACTACAATCTAAGCTCTTTCAGGACAGAAACTGTTTGGCCTTTCTTTGTTTAGTTGTTGGCACACAGTAAGTTGTTTGCCCTTCCTGCTCAAAGAGGACCAAAATGACATCACAATGTTGGGGTCAATGTACAGTGTGTCCAGCTTTGGTGGATAATGTCAATATAAGCTTGGAAGGCTCTACTGCAGGTTGGGCACAGAAAGTCCATTCCCATTAAGTACCTAATAAATATTGTTGATTGGAGAGTTTTTTTTACAACCAGAGAATCTAGACCATTCAGGAAGAACAACCCTTCTCCCAAATCTGGAAGGGCCAGGATGGCAATTCTACTCATTGAAAGAAAACCAGAAAGACCCCAACACTACCACGGGATCAAAAGGAATCCTACCAGAATATTTCATTCATTACACATGAACAAAATAAGGCTTGACCCCAAACAATCTAATTTTCTAATTCTGTGGGTCTGTAGGAAGCTTTTTCATATATCAAGTTTTCCATTCTTGTTTTTCTCGACTCTGCTAATGAGCCCATAGATGGCAAGGTAAGGAGCCTTGTGATAAATTCATCACATACTATAAAAAAGAGGGAACAAATTGGACACAGTCTACTTTTCAGAGTTTCATACGCAATCCTCTTTTTCTATTCTTTTTCTATGGTCAAATTCACATTTGTTGGTGTCTGTCAGGTTCAGAATAGCTAAAAATAGATGCATGATACAGCAGATTGATCAAAAACAGGCTGGAAGAGGAAGTCACAACTTTTTGGTAGAGATGGCAGGGAGTATCCCTAGAGACATCTATACAGATACCCCCAAACTCTTAGCATAGTGGCAAAAAGCACTGGATTTGGAGTCAAAGGATTTGGGTTCAAATCCCAATTCTAGTTCTGTGTGACATTGGTAGTCAGTTAACCTCTCTAGGCCTTGGTTTTCTCATCCATAAAATGAAGGGGGTGAGCATGATTCCCTAAGGTCCCTTTTGGTTCTAGCCTATGATTATTGAAAGAAAACCTTAGAGATTCTGTCTTCCAAGGAGTGAAAGTTTCATTTTAGGTTGTCCAGATGTCAAATTCAGGTGTATTATTAACCATATATGTATTTGTACATACAAATCATGTATATATAAATATACATGCATATATTTGCTTACAATATGCAAAATGCCCAGCCCTTATTGTCCTATCTTTTTGGGGAAAATGTTAAAGTTAAATTGTATTGTTGTACCCAAGGGTTTATCACATCTTAATTTTTCTCTTCATGTTTTCTTATCCATCTGTGCATTGCAACTGAGTCAGATCTGTGAAAAAATGGCAGAGCCCAGAAGGGCAGACACACAGAACAAAAGGACATAGAAGGTGGGGTCTTGAGGAGCAGCAGCAATCTTTTCTGGACCATTAATGGGCTTTTAGGCTTCAGCTGACTATATGAGGTTAAACAGTTGGAAATAAGAGAATTCAGGAAAGGAGAGTTATTTGTAAAGTACTGGGAAGTAGAAAAAGCAGTTTGTGGCTAAAGACCACTTGAGAATAACAGGAAAAAAGCTCTTTATAACTCACCAATCAAGAAATCACCATCTGAATTGTAAAAACATCTGGAAAGAAGGTAGAAAACATTTTAAGAGATGTTCAATATCAGCAACATAAAAGCACAGTAAGGGGCAGCATAGTGCTCCATAAACCAAATGGGATTTGGAGTCAGAGGTTTTGAGTTCTAGTCCTGGTTCTCACAATGTGTCCCACCCATGGGACCTTCAACAAATCACTTCCTCTCTCTAGGTCTCATTGGCCTTATCTGGGGTCAGCTAGGTGGCTCAGTGGATAGAGTGCCAGGCCTGAAGTCAGGAATATTTATCTTCCTGAGTTCAAATCTAGCTTCAGACACTTACTAGCTGAGTGACCCTGGGCAAGTCACTTAACTCTGTTTGTTGCCTCAGTTTCCTTTTCTGTAAAATGAGCTGGAGAAGGAAATAACAAACCACTCCAGTATTTTTGCCTAGAAAACTCAAAATGGGGTCACGAAGAGTTGGACACAACTGAAATGACTGAACCACAAAAGGTGCCTTACTGTTCTGATATTTTGTAATTCTAAGTCCATAATTCTAGGGAATAAAAGTCAAATGACCCATTATATAATTTGTCTTAACTGGAAATCTTAGAATAAAAACATGCTCCCGGGCTCAACCAACTTCCGGGAACCATAGTTGCTTACTTGTTAACCATAGAGGCATTACAGATGAAAATGTGGATGGCGATCCCACTGTTGGACCGGATGTCTCCAGCTCCACACAAGGTATGAAGTCCCTAGGAAACAAAGGCCACCCCCACCAGGAAAGAAGGGTTAGAATTCAGGGTGCCTGGCAGACCCTTCCCTTTCTCTGGTAACTAAAACAAAGAAGTGAAGTCATTTGCATCACGGTCTCTGAGACAGGCAAAGACTGAGAGGAGCTAACTGAAGAACCCAAGACGCCTCATGTCCACATCCTCTTCTTTACCCTCTAACTATTATGTCGTAATTGTTTAAAAAAGATAGCTGAGAATGGTGACACAAAGAATACACATGTATTAGAGGCAGCTGGGCAGCGAGGTAGCACACTGCGTAAGTGTTGGGCCTGGAGTTAGGAGGAGTTCAAATTTGGTCTCAGACACTAGCTGTGTGACCTTGGGCAAGTCACTTAACCTTGTTTGCCTGTTTCCTCATCTGTAAAATGAATTGGAGAAGGAAATGACAAACCATTCCAGTATCTTTGCCAAGAAAACTTCAAATAAGGTCATCAAGAGTCAGACATGACTGAAATGACTCAGAAACAACAACTAGAGATAGTTAGGTGGTAAAGTGAATAGGGCCCTGAACTTGGAGTTAGGAAGATCCAAGTTCAAATCTAGCCTCAAATACTTTCTAGCTGTGTGACCCTGGGCAAGTCACTTAACCTATCTCTGCCTCAGTTTCCTCATCTGTAAGGTGGAAAAATAATAGCACCTACCTCATAGGGTTGTTTCAAGGATAAAATGAGATAATATTCATAAAGTGCTTTGCTCAGTGCCTGGCAAGTAGTAGGTGATTAATAAATGCTTAATAATTAAAACAATTTTTAACTAATTGTGTCATATTCACATCTTATCAGCCCAGCAAAACTGTCTCACTCTTCCTTCATTCATCCAGGAGATATTTATAAAGTATCTATTAGGCTGCAAATTCCATAAAATCAGGAGCACTATACTATGCACATAGGAGGTACTTGATAGATGCTTGTTAAAAAAATTGAATAATGTATATGGTGTGTAATGCATTGGAGGTGATCTTTCCATGTGTCCATGACAGATGCTCAGCAAATACTTGTGGAATGAAATCAAAACTCATCCATCCTCTTGGCCATTCTCTCAGATCCCCCACTTTCTGCTAGGGGACAATTGGCTGATTTCATAAATTATTCTTCATTAGTGTGCTATTGGGTGCTTTGTTTTTGGTCGGTCATTTTAGTTGTTTCCTCTTTGACCCTATTGGGGTTTTATTGGCAGAGACACTGGAGTGGTTTGCCATTTCCTTCTCCAGCTCATTTTACAGATGAAGAAACTGAGGCAAACAGGATTAAGTGACTTGCCTAGGGTCACACAGCTAGTAAGTGTCTGAAGCCAAATTTGAACTCAGGGAGATGAGTCTTCCCTGACTCCAGGCCCAGCTCTATATGCACTACGGCGCCACCTAGCTGTCCCAATAACGGGTGTTTGCGTGTCTTCCTAAGGTGATTTAAATAGGGGCGTTCTGGGGACAATGCTTTCTTTCACTCAAAGGAATCTCTCTAATAATGGGCTCATAATCTGAGGAATAAGATATTTGGGAGGCAGTTGGGACTTGGTGATACTCCTCAAACCTCATTGTCAGGTTCCTGCTTGTGAAAAGATTCAACCCGACATGGGGCTCTTCTGTATAATGTCTCATTATCACTGCCAAAGAAAGCAGCAGGGCCAGTTGATTCCTGTAGCAAGAGTCTACGGTGAGAAGCCCTAGGAAGCTGGGGCAGAACTGTGTTGATACAGAAAACTCCCTGTTCCTGGAAGTATTGAAGCAGAGATTGAATGACCCAGAAATGTTGTAGAAGGAATTCTAGCATTGGGTGAGAGTTGGATTTCACGAACCCTAAGTTTTGCTGAGATAATGTAAACCTTAAAACATGATATAAACTTCAGCTCTCATTGTTATAGTGGTCATTCCAACCCCAACACTCTCTGATTTTCCCCTTGCAACCTTTGGTAGGTCATCTTGTGTCTCCAGGACTCACTTTCCTCTTTTGCACAAATTGGGGATTAGACTAGATGTTCCCCTAATCCCTATGGGGGGGATCATGGGATCATAGGATTTACAGCTAGACAGGACCTTAGGGATGATCTAGTCCAACGCCCTCATTTTCTCAGAGGGGTCCAGAGAAAGGAAATGATTTGCTCAAAATAACATAAACAGTAAGTGGTAGATGATGAATTTAACACAGAGCTAATGCCAAATTCATGTTATGTCCACGATGCCAAGATGCCTCTCTAAAAGCTGGGTAAGACACGGCCTCTGCCCTCGTTGAGTTTATATGGTTCTATCTTTTGCCACCTTCAAATCTTCCCTGACTTGTGTCCCACTTTCTGCCAAGTAGTATATAGATGAATTGATAGAAAGTGTTAGTGGCTAGCAAAGGATAAATGTGTGACTTTCTTCCAGAAAGGATGTGTGTTTTAACAGTCACTTTCAGCCAATGGTGATAATATCAGGCACAGGGGCAGGCGTGTGAGGGCCACATTTGGGTCAGAGGGATACTTTCCATGACCCTCCGCCCTACCATGAATGTGACTGCTTTCATGTGAGGCTGACCCTACTTGGCACCCAAGCTGCCAACTGGCGGATTATCATGTACTGAATGAACTTTCCCCAAGAGAATGTAATTTCCTTGAGTTTAAAGGCTATTTAATTTTGGTCTTTATATTCCCAGATCCTGTGGAATATAGCAGGTATTTAATAAATGCTTATAGGCTGAATAAATGAATGAACAAATGAATGAACCACGCTACAGAGGAGAGGAGAGGGCTAAGAAGGAGGGCTGGAACAGTGACTTACGCTCACAAAGTCCATTTTTTTCTGGGATGCTTTTGGAATCTCAAATGGCTTCCACCTAAGCTGAAAAACAAGCACAGGCCAAAAAAAAAAATTATTTCACAAAGGCAAATTGGAGGTTTTTAATGAACAGCATCTACACCATGGAAGATGAAGTATGGAGCCCTGACTGCCGGTGATTTTGTTATTTTGAAATTGATCATTATTAGTCACTTTCTTCCAGAGGCACTGGAGGGATTAAAAAAAAGGGGGGGGAAGAAGCCACCCATTTTTTCAAATGACTTGTGGGATGGCGCCTACTATTCTCCATGTGGCAGAATGCGTCCCCTGGTTCCCTTGCTTTCTCCTTCAGATGCTGGAGCTTTGCTTTTTGACATTCTGCTCAGGCAGATCAGGGAGTTTCAACTGATCCCATTTTTTATGCTATTTATAATCAGCTCCCCTTCCTGGCACACCAACTGCTCTGTGTGGGCTCCTAACACTGCAGAGGCTGCCTGGGGCTGCTTTTGCTTTCAGCCCTCGTAGTTCTGAATCATGACTTTAAACAAGTAAAAAAGAGTCCAGTCTGGGTGACTGGGGGCAAGCCAGTGCCCCCTCTGAGCCTTGGTGTTATTTGTAAAACAAAGATGTTGGGCTAAGTGATCTCAAAAGGCCCTTCCAGTTCTGACATCCTTGTGATTCTGCAAATTGATGGTAGGTTTTATAAGTTACAGAAGCACCATTCAGTTCCTTCACCGAGCTCAGGATTTGTCCCTAGGCTACCTGGCATTTTCATTTGAGTCATGACAATATTTGATTTGTTATTAGGCAATATTTAACTTATTAATTAGACAATTGAAAGAATCAGAAGATGTCAGCAGGCTGGAGGTCCTGCCAGATGTGCCAGCCTGCCAAGTGGCCCAGGGCTTCATGATCTATTAATCAGCTCTGCATTGGGTTTAACAGAGCAAGGTGATGGCTGTCAGAGGTCAATAAACAATGAGGTCTCTGAGCCCATCTGCTCCTAGAGTGACCCTTCTGCCTCAACTCCCCATTACAATAGCTCAGATCAGCCTGGCACCCAGATCCCTGCCCACAGTGTCTCCATTACTCCTGAACAGTGGGTGGTGCTCATGCCCTGTCACTTCATGCTACACAAAATGAGTCAAAGAAGTGGAGAGAATATGGTGGGCAATTAGTCTACCACCTACCCACAGACATGTGGTAATCCTGATTTTTTTTTTCAAAAGAAAATAAGGTTATCATAATTGAGAAATATTTGACTTGGGAATTTGAATTACACACCTGAGTTTTTGATCCCCCCTCTACTCCCAGCTTCTAGTACCTCCCCTCCTCAAAACAATGTTTTTTGTGTATTCATTTTACATATATACCTGCATGTATGCACTCTCTCCTTTGAAAGATTGTAAGCTTTTTGAGGACAGGGATTGTTTCTTTTTTATTTTTGTATCCCCAGTACTTCTCATATTGTCTGGCATATATTGGGTAACTAATAAATATGTGTTGATAGCTTGCTTGGGAATGCCACACACACACACACACACACACACACATGTTTTAATAATGTAGTTCAAGGATCCATAGTTTCATTGATGAGGATACTCCACCCAAAGAGATAGCAACCAATGCCCCTACCCCTTCTGTACCTTAGGAGAAAGCCTTTGCTCGTTGCTGTGACTAAAAAAGGGCAGCTAGGTGGCACAGTGGATAGAGTGCCAGGCCTGAAGTCAGGAAGACTCATCTTCCTGAGTTCAAATCTGGCTTCAGACACTTACTGGTTGTGTGACCCTGGGCAAGTCACTTACTCTTGTTTACCTCAGTTTCCTCATCTGTGAAATGAGCTGGAGAAGGAAATGGCAAACCACTCCAGTATTTTTGCCAAGAAAACCCCAAATGGGGTCATGAAGAGTTGGATGCAATTGAACACCAAACAAGTGGGTGAAAAAAATTCACCATCTGGTAGGTGATGAGCCTGTCTAAACTTAGGCTGAGTCTTAATTGAAGGTATTAAGACCTTCCCTGGGCTCGTATTTGAAGACTTTCCCTTGTCAAAATTCACACTATTGCCACAGCCTTTGAAACTTTGCACTGCGTGATAAAACTTGGAAGTAAGACTTTGGCGGAAGATTTTTAAATTTTAATCAAAAGAAATCACGACAACTTAAGTCTCACCTTCTGTAGGAGGCCTTTCCCGACCTCTCCTACTCCTAGTCCCTTCCCTCTGAGATGACCTTCCATCTCCTCTGCATACATAGCTATTTGTTGTTTCTTCTATTAGACTGTGAGCTACTTGAGGGCAAGGACATTTTTTTTTTTTTACCTTTTTTTGTATCCTTAGCACTTAGCACAGTGCCTGGAACATAGTAAGCATTTAATAAATTTTTGTTGATTGATTGAAATTTCCTAATTGAGTAACATTGTTGAAGCCTTTGCTTTCTCTGGCACAAATGCAAAATAATGAAATATCCTTCCTCCATCTCTCTTCCCCACCCCCCATAAAAGTGGCAGCCTTGGGATTTGAACCCAGTGTCCTCTGACTCAGGATCAGAGGATCAACAATAGTTCCACTCCACCAGACTTTGTTGTTCAGTTGTGACTGAGTTTTCATGACCCCATTTGGGGTTTTCTTAGCAAAGATAATAGTTTGCCATTTCCTTCTCTAGCTCATTTTACAGATGAGGAATTGAAACAAACAGGGTTAAGTGACTTGCCTAGGGTCATACAGCCTTCTGATTTCAGGCCCCAGTGCTATGCCACCTTGCTGCCCTACATCATACTACCTTACAAGATTAGTTGATGTAGGGAAAGTGAATGAATCAAATAGATTTATAGGTGAGGGTTTCCTGCTTACCATAGAATAGCCTTATTTCTATGACGGCAGCCCTCAGGTAAGGAGAAACAAAGCTTCAAGGAAAAGAGGGAATTGATTGTGAGGAAGCAAATGTACTCTTAAACAGGAGATATTTCTCAAGTGATGCTTTATGGTCCTCTGGTGCTGAAGGCATTTCCTCCAAGGAAAAAAGATCCTCAGGAAAGAGGGTGCAAGTGGTGGGAATGGGACATTCTGTAGGAATATCAGAGTCTGATGATGACTTTGAGAAGCCCAGAGTGACTTGCTTGTGAGGGTGCATCTGAATGAGACATGAAGCTGTAACATTACAGAGGATGGGGAGGAGCTAGTGATTGTGATACAAGTGGACAACAGTATAATGGGTAAAGGAAGATAATGGGGAGCTCAAGTCTAGGATCTCTGGGGAAGTTTTGCATGGGATTCCGTCTGGATACAAGTCCTAAGAATCAGACAGAACTCTCTAGCTTCCGAGAGGCTATGGAGATGGATGGAGGCTGGGGAGAGAAGATGACAGTATATGAAAGGCTTTAGGAGTTGATAGGCAGATGGAATCTTTAGAGCAGAACATAGGAGATCTTCAGCTAGGGCCTAGGCAGCTTAATTTTGCCCAATACTATATGTGGTAATATTAATCAGGCCTATTTCCTCCCTGATGGGCTGTTAAAATTATCCCTTCCAAAGTGGAACCTCTGAAAGTTTGGTAAGAGCAATTGAATTATACACAGTATCATAATAATTTAAAGCTGGAGGTGGGGGGTGGGGATCTTAGGGATCAATTAATCCAAACTCCCCATTTCTCCAAAGAGAAAACTGAGAGATAGCAATAGTTAACTCATTTATTCTGAAGGTTTTTTTTAATTAATAAGAGATACTTATCAAGACAATGATCCAAGACTATTCCAAAGGACCCATGATGAAAAATGCTACCTACCTCCAGGGAGAAAACTGATAAAGACCAAGTACAGATTGAAGTATAATTCTTTCACTTTATTTTTCTTGCTTTTTTCACAACATTGCTAATATGGAAATATGTTTCACATGAGTTCACATGTATAATTGATATCACATTGCTTGCCTTCTCAATGGGTAGGAGAGGGACTGGAGGGAAGGAGAGAATTCAGAAGTAAAAATTTTAAAAAACTGATGAGAGATATCAGGGCAAGATAACAGAGAGACAATTCCAGTGTTGCACTAGATTTACACAAGTGAGAGATGGAGAAAGGGAGGGAGGGCTGGAAAGGGAACAAGCATTTATTAAGCACCTACTATATGCAAAGTCTTGCTGCTGTCATCTCAGTTGATCCTCACAACAACCTTGTGAAATATTATTATCCACATTTTATGATTGAGAAAACTGAGGAAGACAAAGGTTAAGTGACTTGGCCACTGCCACACAGCTAGTTAGTGTCTGAGGTTAGATTTTTTTTTAGCAGTTTCTTTTTCTTTGTAAATAGTATTTTATTTTTTTCCAATTACATGTAAAGATAGTTTTCAACATTCAGTTCCATTGCCATTTCCTTCTCCAGCTCATTTTACAGATGAGGAACTGAGGAAATCAGGGTTAAATGATTTGTCCCAGGGTCACACAGTTAGTAAGTGTCTGAGGCTAGATTTGAACTCAAGTCTTCCTGACTCCAGGCCCAGCGCTCTGTCCACTTTGCCACCTAGCTGCCCTCCTTGCTGAGAGGAGTTAAGTCTATCAAAGTTGATCAGCACACAACGTGTTTGTTACTGTGTACAACGTTATCCTGATTCTGCTCACTTCACTCAGCATCAGTCCATGCAAGTCTTTCCAGGTTTTTCTGAAGTCCACCTGCTCATCATTTCTTATAGCACAATAGTATTCCATTACATTCATATACTACAACTTGTTCAGTCATTCCCCAATTGATGGGCAGCCCCTCAATTCCCAGTTCTTTGTGAGGGCAGATATTAACGCAGGTCTTCCCTACTCCAGGCCCAGTGCTCTATCTACTGAGCCACCTAGCTGGAAAGAGCATGAGATCTGGAATGAGAGTACCTGGATTCAAACCCCAGGTCTTATCTGTGAAACCATGAACAAGTCACTTAACTCTTCCAGGTCTCAGTTTACTCATCTGTTAAAAAATGAAGAGGTTGCTGCCAGAAAAATCTAATTTTCTATTCTACACATGTTTTTACTTTGTGATAAATTATGAATATGTTCCCAAGAAAGCTTAAATCATCTAGTATAGAAATATTTAGGCACAATTTTCAAATATTTCCTCAGGTGCACAGATGCCTTGCCCTGGCTCTGGGTGAAAGATCCATTGAGGGAGAAAGGAAATGAGGCCTATTTTGTGTAACATTTCTTAACCTTTAGATATTGATGTCATGAATAACAACCACATTCTCTTTACCATAGGTCTTTCATACCTTTATTAGAATAGGGAAAAGCTTGGAAAAGAGTTTCATTTTGTAGTCACAATACGGAGGTAAACAGTGCTAGGCTGAACTGACTAGAGCAGGCAGGTGGTGCAGTGGATTGAGCACTGGACCTGTTGTTAGATAAGACCTGAGTTCAAAGCCAGCGTCATAAACTTACTAGTTGTGTGACCCTGGGGAAGTGATTTAACCTATTATTGCTTCAACTTGTTGAGGATCGAATGAGATAATATCTATAAAGTGCTCTGCAAACCTGAAAACATTACATAAGTGCTAGGCTAGCTACTATAGTTTTTCAACTTTTAGATTTTGATGAGCACCCAAAGATGCTTGATGAGCTCAGCCTGAGTTCTGCATCATAATTCTAAGCCACTGAGATACAGATGCAGAGCTCAAAGAGAACTTGGAGGTCACCTAGTCCAAACATTTCCTTTTTTAGATAAAGTTGAAATTCACAGGTAGTAAGTGAGGGAACTGGGATGCAAACCCCAGTCCTTTGACCCCAAATCCAGTTCAATTTACTGTACCATGTGGGCTCCCTGGGGTTGGTCTGTGAAAGGTGGGAAGAGGCATAGGGAACTCTCAGAGGAGAAACCCCCCCCTTATCGGGGCAGGTGGGCACCTTCTCTTCAACTTATAGTCTTAGAGGGAAGGGGAAGGAAACAAGCATTAGCTATGTGCTTGACACTGTGGTAAGTACTTTACATCTGATCTTCATCATTTGATCTTCACAACAACCCCAAGAAGTAAGTGTTGCTATTATCCATATTTTACAGTTGGGGAAACTGAGTAAGATAGAGGTGAAGCATCTTGCCCAGGGTCACACAACTAGTGTCAGGCTGGATTTGAACTCAGGCTTTCCTGACTCCAAGTCCAGTGCTCTATTCACTTTGACATCCAGCTGCCTTTCTTAGAGACCTGCCTAAAGTCCAAGAGTTTAAGTGACTTGCCCAAGGGGACAAAGACTTGAGCTGACCCATGTCTTCCTGGCATTGATCCCAGTTTTCTATCTACCTCAACCTACATTCTCCCCTAAAAGGTGAGGAATAAGTAAGAACAGAAGATCTACTTTAAGTTTTTGGATGGGAAGGATTTCAGAGACGCAAAAATAATTTCTTCAAACCTACTAGACTGAGTCTGAAGGGGATATTTCAGTGCCATTGAAAAGTGAGAGAGGAAAAGTGAAAAATGAACAGAAATCACTGGAGTTTAATTATTGAAGCATGAATTAAAATAGGAATACCAACATATCAAGATGGTACAAATGAAAAGACAAGAGAATGATATTGTCAAGAATACTGCATGTGTTTAGCAAAGCAAAGAAATCATAATTATGGTTGAGGCCGGGTCACAGAGAAGGGGGGATCACAAAACCATTACCTTTGAGCAGCTAGGTAGCATAGTAGATGGACTTTCAGGCCTGGAGTCAGGAAGACTCATCTTTCTGAGTTAAAATCTGGCCTCAGACACTTACTAGTTGGGTAACCCTGAGCAAGTCATATAACCCTGTTTGCCTCAGTTTCCTTATTTGTAAAATGAGAGGAAATGGTGGGCCACTCTGGTATCTTTGCCAAGAAAAGCCCAACATGGGGTCATGAAGAGTTGGACGTGACTGAAATAACTGAACAACAACAACCTTAACAAAAGTGGATTTCACAGAACAATTGCCTAGATACACACTTGTGATTATGACAGGTCCAAGAGAAAGGGAAACTCTTGGAATAGAAATTTAATTGGTGGCTTGCTAACATATGGAAGGTGATCAAAAAGTTGGAAAACAGAGAGATGAGAAATAAAATGGCCCTAGAGAAGGTCTGTGGAAATCTCCTTTTCTTCTCTTTTTGCAGAGGTAAAGGCCTAAGGGGATATGTCTTGCATGTCCTATCAGATATCATTGATATGTTGAATAGTTTTTCTGAACTGCTCTTTTTCTCTTTTTTAAAAAATCTTTTAAATAAAGGACAACTCACTAAGCTGGAAAAGAAGATGGATATATTTAGAAATAAAGAAGAAGTGAAAACAAAAATATCAATTTTTTTTAAAGAAGAAGATATAAAAAGCAAGATTAAATCAAGGGAAATGGGTCAGTGGGTATGACCCCAACCTGCTTTTAGGGCCAGGAGTAGCATATGGCAGAGCTAATTATGTGACCTTGGGCAAGTCACTTAACCTCTTCTTGCCTCAGTTTCCTCATTTGCAAAATGGGGATAATAACAGCACCTACCTTGCTGTTGTTGTGAGCACCAAATGATATTTTAATAATTATAAGGCTCTTAGCACAGTGCCCAGCACGTAGTACGTGCTATATAAATGTTAGCCATTATTATTATTTTTATTGTGTTTTGGGCAAAGACACTGGGTTCGTGATGGGTTAAAAAACACTTGGTTCAGTTACATCACTAGATCTGGTCTCTTAGTTACCCAGCAGAGGATAATAGTTTACAAATTAGATTACTCCCTAAGGGGGGGCTGGGGAAAGAACCCACCTGTCTTAGGACAGAAGGAAAAGATTAAGAATTCCTAGTTATGGAAAGAATGTAATACCCTGAAAGTAACCACACCTTCCAGAATCCAGTTTGGACAACAAGATACTCTCTGACGATCATCAGGATCTGGGATCCTTTCATCCTTATTCCTGAGGAATATTTTCAGATGTGTCAGGCAATAAATATTTATTAAGCACCTACTATGTGACAGGCTAGGCACTGTGCTAAGCTCTGCTCTTGAGGAGCTCACAATCTAATGGGGGAGACAACATGAAATAACTATGTATGGACAAGTGATATACAAGATAAATTGGAAATAATGAACTGAAGGAAGGCACTAGAATTAAGAGGAATTGGGAAAGGCTTCCTGTAGCAGGAAGGATTTTAGCTGGAATTTGAAGGAAGCCAGGGAACCTGGGAGGCTGAGATAAAGAGGGAGAGCCTTCCATGCCTGGGAGACAGTCAGTGAAAAAGACCAGCTTTGGCAGTGTCTTATTTGAGGAGTAGCAAGGAAGCCAGTGTCAGCATGGCCAGTAAGGGGCTGGTTTCAAAAACAGGAGTAGCTGGGTTCAAGTCCTGCCTCAGAGTGACCCTAGGTAACCTAGACATCGGTGCTAAAGACATCTCTCTAGGCCTATGAGTTGCAGGGAAGGTGCCCACCTGCCTTGGTAGATTGGGGAGCTTATTGTACCAACGAAATCATAGGTCCAGGTCCTATTATTGGCTAGGTTGCCTGTATTTTGTTGTAAGGATGGTCAGGAACCTGTAGAGATTTTGACTTGCAAAATTTTAACTGAGTCAATACACATTCTTTCCTATACTTTATCTTTAAGCTAAGAGAATACAAACTGTGTCCATCCCCATTCATTGACACAGTCTACTTCAAATACAAATTTCAGCCCGGCTGATCGTGTTTATCACTTTTTTCAACTCCAGGCCTGATTTGTTTTAGGCCCCCCATACAAAATGCAGAAAGGTAGAGGTGCATCATAGATAGAGAGCCAGCTTCAAAACCAAGAACACCTGGGGTCAGGTTCTGCCTTTCACGTATACTAGCTGTGGGACCCTGAGTCCCTCAATGCAACCCTCTTAAACTTAAACAAGTTGCAGTAAAGGGAGTTTCCCTGTGTCAGTTAATTTAGACGTCCAGTGCCTAGTCCCTACGTACATTTTATGCCTTTATTGGCATGACTGGGTTACCTGATTAGGGTCTGGTTCTACTTCATCCCAGTTGTGAGTGAGATGGCCTTGCTCAATGGATTCAAAAGGCTTGTGAATGACGGAAGGTAGAATTCGGTACAGCCAGCTATGGAAGAAAAGAGAAAGTGATGGATTCAGGAAACGTAATGAATGATGCAGAGCCATGCCCAAAAGTGCATACAACCCAGCTGGGTGAGTACATATGTGAAAAGCAACATTCCAACTTCTTGTGGCCCTTTATGGCTCCATGGTGGTCACCGACTTTCTCTACTTTTCTTTTTTAGCTCCCCCTCCCCCTCCCCTGCCAAATGCTGCAAAGTGTTTGGTGCTGAGTAAGGCAGTGAAATGGTTCATTTATGAGCTGGCGTGACGTCAGAAGATAGGACAAGAAGTGAAGAATTGTAACAAGCCTTAACTCCTCTGTGCCTCAGTTTCCTCATCCTTAAAATGAACATTTTGATTTTTAATGTTCCTCCTAGCTCTAAATCCTATGATTTTGTGATATCATTGGGGAAGCCTATTAGAAACCTGTTTTAGTTCAAATATTAAGAAATCAGTATTGCTTTAGTCTAGAACTCTCTCTCTCAGGCCTTTTCTTTTAGGAGAGTAGGTAAAAAGGTCAAGACCAAAAGCCAAAGCCCTGGGAAGTGAATTAAAGGACATAAACAAACTTAGAATTAGAAATGCCTCCTCTTGTGCTAGCACAGTGCTCAACACATAGTAGGCACTTAAAACATGTTTGTTGATTTGACTAGTTAATATCCTTGCCTTTCCCCTTCCTTTAAATAGAGTTATGACCCAACTGAAAATAGCACCCTTTCCCTCCTTTTCCTAAAGGTATTAGGGTATTGATCAGAGCAAGGAGGTCCCTTGAATTACTTCAGGAGACTCCTTGATGTGAGGAATCAAAAAGGCATAAGTGATTTTTCTCCAAACACCATTCTGGAAAGATTAAATAACTATTATTCTACTAGATGGGTTAGAATGTTAACCCCAAGCTCTGTTTTATCATGTTGTGACATTTTCCTCATTCAGGATTTCTATAAATGTTACTTTAAAATGTTTTGACATGTCTGAGGGGATTCAGAGGGACTCTGGCAATGTGGATATTTCTTTCCAAGAAGAACAATGCTTGAATTTAGAATAATGTTAAATTAATTTTAAAATGTCTCTGGCAAACTCGTGTCTGAAATGTAGATAATGGTATTTTTTTTTGACACCATGGTCCTTCCCAACTAAAACTATAAATGGAGTTTAGGGGGGAGAGAATCCTTTGTAGAGAGTATCTGGTGACATTCCAAAGTTGAGGTGAAAGTTACAAAGAATAAAGGACTGAATTCTGTATATTTTGGAACTAAACAGCAATAATACAAACTGACATTTACATAGTGCTTTAAACACTTTAAAAGTGCAAAAATGGGCGGAGCCAAGATGGTAGAATAAAAGCAGTGACTTGCTTAAGCTCTCCCCCAAACCCCTCCAAATACCTATAAAAAATGGCTCTAAACAAGTTCTAAAGCAACAGAACCCACAAAAAGACAGAGTGAAACAAATTTCCAGTCCAAGACAGCCTGAATGGTTGATCGGAAAGGTATATCGCGCCGGGCTGGGAGAGGAGCGCAGTGCGGCATAGGCACACAGGCCTCAGGCATCAGAGGACTGAATTGCGGGCAGCTGTGGCGGTTTCCAGACTTCTCAACCCACGAACACCAAAGACATCTTAGAAGGTCATTGGGAAAAGTCTGTGACTGCGGTGAGAGAAGGAACTAGGTCTCAGCCACACCCAGGGCTGCAGCTGTTTTCTGAGCTTCCGGCCCACAGACTGAGGGGGAATTGAGTGGCTGATCAGAGAGGGATTGCAGGGATCTCTTTGCCTGTGCTGAGGCAGGAATCTCTTGCTTTACCAGTGCTTAGATCTGGGTCACAGTTCTGAGGGGCGGTCCTGGGGCGAGGAAGAATGCTGGTGTGGTAAAGCTTGTTGTGGCGGTGGAGAGGAAACACCTCGCCCCTTATCATACCACCTTGGAAGAACTGAAAATTTACAGGTCCCTAAAAGTATCTCTGAAAACAGCTATACAAACCCCTGAAGCTTGGGACAGTACATTCTTCACATTGGAAACAGACTTTTACCTTAACAAAGAGTTTAAAACTCAAGTAATTGACTGCAATCATGAGTAAGCAGCGCAAAAAGAGTCAGACTGTATTATCTTACTTTGGTGACAAAGAAGATCAAAACATACAACCAGAAGAAGACAATGAAGCCAAAGCTCCTAAATCCAAAGCCTCCAAGAAGAATATGAATCAGTCCCAGGCCTTGGAAGAGCTCAAAAGGGATTTTGAGAAGCAAGTAAGAGAAGTAGAGGAAAAACTGAGAATGATGCAAGAAAATCATGAAAAACAAGTCAACAGCTTGCTAAAGGAGACCCCAAAAAAATACTGAAGAAAAAAACACCTTAAAAAATAGCCTAACCCAAATGGCAAAAGAGGTCCAAAAAGCCAGTGAGGAGAAGAATGCCCTCAAAAGCAAAATTGGACAAATGGAAAAGGATGTCCTAAAGCTTACTGAAGAAAATACTTCCTTAAAAATTAGAATGGAGAAATTGGAAGAGAGGGACAATTTGAGAAATCAAGGCACTGTAACACTAATCAAAAGGAATGAAAAAATAGAAGAGAATGTGAAATATCTCATTGGAAAAACAACTGACCTGGAAAATAGATCCAGGAGAGAAAACTTAAAAATTATTGGACTATCTGAAAGCCATGATCAAAAAAAAGAGCCTAGACATCATCTTTCGACAAATTATCAAGGAAAACTACCCTGATATTTTAGAACCAGAGGGCAAAATAGAAATTGAAAGAATCCACCAATCTCCTCCTGAAAGAGATCCCCAAAGGAAAACTCCTAGGAATGTTGTAGCCAAATTCCAGAATTCCCAGGTCAAGAAGAAGATATTGCAAGCAGCCAGAAGGAAACAATTCAAATATTGTAGAAACACAATCAGGATAACACAAGATTTAGCAGCTTCTACATTAAGGGTCCAGAGGACATGGAGTATGATATTCCGGAGGGCAAAGGAATTAGGACTACAACCTAGAATCACCTACCCAACAAAACTGAGCATAATCCTTCAGGAGAAAAAATGATCATTCAGTGAAATAGAGGACTTTCAAGCATTCCTGTGGAAAAGACCAGAGCTGAATAGAAAATTTGACCTTCAAATACAAGACTCAAGTGGAACATGAAGAGGTAAACAGGAAAGAGAAATCATAAGAGACTTATTAAGGTTGAACTATTTACATTCCCACAGGGAAAGATGATATTTGTAACTCATGAGTCCTTTGTCAGTATTAGGGTAGTGGGAGGGAAAAAATTATATGTTTGTATAGATAGATAGAGGACACAGGGTGAGTTGAAGATGAAGGGATATCTGGAAAATAAAATTAAGGGGTGGGAGAAGATTATACTGGGAGAAGGAGAAAGGGAGAAGTGGAATGAGGTAAAATATCTCACATGAAACACAAGAAAAGGCTTTTACATTGGAGGAGAAATGGGGGAAGGTGAGAGGGAATGAGTGAATCTTATTCTCATAGGATTTGGCTTAAGGAGGGAATAACATACACAATGGGGTATGGAAATCTATCTTATTCTACAGGAAAATAAGGGAGGAAAGGGACAAGAGAACAGGGGGTTGATAGAGGGGAGGGCAGATTGAGGGAGGGGATAATCAGAAGCAAACACTTCTGAGGAGGGACAGGGTCAAAAGGGAGAATAGAATAAATGGGGGGTAGGATAGGATTAAGGGAAATATACTTAGTTTTTCAGAACAGGACTACTATGGAAGTGTTTTGCATGACTACACATCTATAAGCTGTATCGAGATGCTTGCCTTTTCAATGAGGGTGGGTGGGGAGGGAAGAAGGGAGAAAATTTGTAACCCAAAGTTTTAAAAACACTTGTTAAAAATAAAAAAAAAATTAAAAAAATAAATAATGAAAGCTGAAAAAAAATGCAAAAATGCTTTCTGAATGTGACCTTTTTTGATTTTTACCAGAACTCTAGGTTATGGCATCTTTATAATTATCTTTACCATAACCCTGTTGGTTTTACAAGGTATTACTGTCTCCATTTTAAACATGAGGAAACTGAGACTTAGGTTAAAAGTGACTTAATTAAGTACCTATATATGTATTTATATAGGACTTTAAGTTTGGAAAGTGCTTTACAAATATTATCTAATTTTATCCTCATAGCAACCCTAAGAGGTTGGTGCTGTTATTATCCCATTTTATGAATGAGGAAACTGAAGCAGAAATTGTCTTACTACTACTACTACTAATAACAATAATCATAATATCATCATCATCATCATCACAGTTAGCAAGTATCTGGGGCCAGATTGGGACTCCAGTCTTCTTGACACCAGGTCCATCCACTGCACCACCTAGCTCACTTTCTCATTGGCACACAGAAGGAATATCAAATTATGATCCTTGCTAGTAGGGCAGTGAGAATATGGTGGAGCATGCATGGTCTTTGAGAGCAGGTACTGTTTTGTTTTAGTTTTTTTTTTTTTTGTCTGTGTAACCATTGTTTAGTACATAGTAAGCACCTATTAAATTCTGTTGAGTCATTGACTGGCCGACTGATTGATTGGACTTGGATTCCGAGATCTGGGCTCTAGTCTCAGACTAGCCACTAATTAACTTTGTAGTTGGGGCAAATCCATTTTCCTTCCTGTTCCATTAGAATTGGGTTCGACTAGGTGATCAAGGGCCCTTCCAGTTTAGATTCTATGACTCTTATGGATCACTTCTGGACAGCTACAACTATGAAATAATCAGACACTCTGGGTCACAAACAGTAGGTTGCCCTTCCTTCTTCTTGACTTAAAGAGGATCATAGAATCATAGATTTAGGGCCAGAAAGATCACTGAATTCACCCTTCCCCCATACCACCCCATTTTACATATGAGGATGTTAAAGTCAACAGGTGAAGTGATTTGCTCCAAATCACTTAGGTTGTGAGAGAGCTGAAATTTGAACGCAGGTCCTCTGGTTCCAGATCCAGTGCTCTTGCCACTGGACTACAAAGTGTGGAAGCTGGA